CACCAAAGTCCCTGAAAATCATTCGATTTGCACGAGTTTTGACAAAGCGCACTGAATTAGATGTAGAATAACGTGTGCTAAGTTTCGTGAAAATTGGTTTAGATTTAAATATAGCTCCCATATATACATAGATTCGCCCGAATTTAGGTAAATGGTATGCCAAAGTCCATACATATCTCCCGATTTGCACGAAATTTGGTATAGCGTACTGGATAGAGTCTAGAATGATGTGTGTGAAATTTCTTGAAAATCGGTTCAGATTTAGATGTAGCTCCCATATATAGTTTTCTTAATTTTAGCTTAATTGTGCACCAAAGTCCCTGAAAATCATTCGATTTGCACGAATTTTTGCATAGCGTACTGTATTAAGTCTAGAATGACGTGTACTAAGTTTCGTGAAAATCGTTTGAGATTTAGATATAGCTCCCATATATAGTTTCGCCCGATTTTAGATAAATGTTATGCCAAAGTCCCTATATATCTTCCGATTTGCACGAAATTTGGCATAGCGTACTGGGTAGAATCTAAATTGATGTATGTAAAATTTCAGATATATCCAAATCTGATCCCATATATATTTTCGACCGATTTAATGTAAATGGTTCACCAAGATCCCTATAAATCCTTTGATTTCCATGAAATTTGGCATAGCGTAATGAATTGAGTCTAGAATGATATGTGTACAATTTCTTTAAAATCGGCCCCGATTTAGATATAGCTCTCATATTTCCAATTTTAAGTAGGTCCCAAAATATGACCATTAGGAACAAAACCTGCTGAAATTAGTACAATATAACCTGTAAGAAGTTTCGTTGAAGTCTGTTGTAGCAAACGAATGGCATGTTTATGGATTGATCTAAGTCGGTTCACATTTAGATGAAGGTCACATATTTTAGTTCATCCAATTTCATGTTAATGACCCTTCTGTTAGGATGCATTCGTTAAATATACCCGTAGTGGTGAAGGGTATAATATAGTCGGCTCCGTCCGACTTTACTACTTTCCTTACTGGTTATTACTTGTTAGTCGTGGTTAATATTCTCACATTGCGAAATAATTACGAGACGTCGAAATAAAAACTAGACGTCCAATTCATTTTTGGTTTGATGCATTTTAATTGTGAAAAGTTTGTTTTTCTTTTCTTTATAAAAAGTCATAAAACGAATTTCATCAGAAATCATTTAGTTTATGTCGACTGTGTGCTGGAATATTTTGCGCTGCGATGCCCAGACTATTTTTAGACAACTACGAGTGTTCATGCTTATTCGACATGTTCATCTTTAGAGAACAAACACAACCGCCCATTCCAAATGTGGATGGAGGGAATTATGTCAGAAGTGGTATTTTTCATACAAAAAATTGTATAAATAAACACAAATATATAGATGTGAATTTGTGTGAAAAAGCAAGAGTACGAGAATTGGGTATTAATGAAAAGAAATTTAATGCGTGAAAACTATTGTAAATATTTTACCCAATGTTTTAATAATAAATCAAGAAACCACATAAGGTCTATATTCAAAACTTTGACTTTGGTTGTATGTGCACAATATCCTGTCGAAAGGACCTAAATGTTTATGAATCTAAATTTACTAACTATCTTTAAATGTCAAAAATCGTAATTGAGTTTTCTCAAATTATTGAACACCCCCTCCTTCTACTTTTTGTAAACAAATTTGTACTTGGGAAATTCTATAGATAAATAGATTTATATTGAATTTCTTTAGATTCTCAGGGTAATAAAGTATTGAGCTATTTGGAAAACATAGCAATAACATTGTTTACAAATAAATACCACAGTACATACGAACTTAAATACAAACATTCACACCGAATGGTTGTGAATTTGTTTTTCAATGCTAATTGAAACATAAATTTTCAAATGTATTTTTTTTCTACTAAACTAAGTAACACATCATTTATTTTCGACACAAAAATATGCCGCAGGTGTTCGATATAATGTGACAGTCATCGTTATTGGGATTTTTTTTAAGAGAGAGTTCTTATGAAAATTAATAAATCTTGTCCTCTTAAAATTTTTAAATTAAAATTAAATATTTATTTATTTTTATACTGAATGTTAATTTTTTTTTATAATTATGATATTCTGATTTATACAAAATACACCTTTTACCAATGAGGAGAAAATAAAATACGTCCCTTAAGGGAACCCCCCATTCTCGATTTTTATACCCTCCACCATAGTATGGAGGGTATATTAATTTTGTCATTCCGTTTGTAACTCATCGAAATATTTATTTCCGACCTTATAAAGTATATATATTCTTGATCAGGGTAAAATTCTAAGACGATCTAGTCATGTCCGTCCGTCCGTCTGTTGTAATCAGGCTATCTTCTGGAGGAATTGAGATAGGCTGTTGAATTTTGCATAAGGTTGTCTTTGTTTAGGTTAAGTTCGAAGATGGGATATATCGGTCCACGTTTGGGCATAGCTCCCATATAAAGGTACTCCCAATTTTTGGTATTTGGGGGTTCTTGACCATGTTTTTCAACCGAATTCGCTGAAGTTTGGTACGTTGGGTTCTTATTGTGTACTAAATGTCTCCACAAAAAAATATAAAACGGCACCTCCCAATTTTCAGTAATTTGGGGGTTTTGATCGTATTTTTACATGAGAATAGGCTGTAATTTAGCATTTTGAGTTCTTAATATGTACCAAATTTCTCCACGAAAAAATTATGAATATAGGTCTATTTTTTCGGGTAGCCCCCATATAAGGGTACTCCCAATTTTCGACATTTTGAGGTTCTTGAGCGCGTTTTCAACCGAATTCGCTGAAATTTGGTATTTGGTAGTCGTATATGGTAACAAATCTCCCCACCAAAATTTTTTTATATTCGCCCCCTTTTTGGGGTAGTCTCCATACAACCCCTTTTTTATACCCTTCACCACACTGTGGTACAAGGTATTATGTCTTTGTGCATATGTTTGTAACAGGTAAAAGGAAACGAGATAGACCCATGGTTCTTTTTGAGAATATGCATAGAATCACTGTCTGTCTGTTTGTCCATGTATTTTTGTGAGCAAAGTACAGGTCGCATTTATGATCCTAATTGGATGAAATTTGGCACAGCCCATTTGTTTGGCCCAAGGACGAACCCTATTGAAATTGAGAAAAATCGGTTCAGATTTAGATATAGCTCCCATATATAGTTTCGTCCGATTTCATGTGAATGGTGCACAAAATCCCTATATATCTTTCGATTTGCATGAAATTTGGCATTGAGTACTGAATTAGGTCCAGAATGATGTGTGCTAAGTTTCGTGAAAATCGGTTCAAATTTAGATTTAGTTCGCATATATAGGTTTGTCCAATTTTATGTAAATGGTGCACCAAAGTCCTTATATGTCTTTTGATTTAAACGAAATTTTGCATATTGTACTGAATTGAGTCTAGAATGACGTGTGTCAAGTTTCGAGAAAATCGGGTCAGATTTATATATAGCTCCCATATATATTTTCGTCCGATCTAAGGAAAATGGCGCTCCAAAGTACCTATGTATTATATCATTTGGCATAGGGTACTGAATTAGATCCCGAATGATGCGTGCTAAGTTTCGTGAAAATCAGTTCAGATTTAGATATAGCTTCAATATATATTATCGACCGATTTAATTGTGCACTAAAGACCCAAAAATTGGCCGATCGGCGCACATTTTTGTACAATGTACTGTTACTATAACCTTTCGTGTGTCAAGTTTTCTTGAAATTGGTTCAGATTTACACTAAAGGCCCATAGCTAGGCAGATTGACATAACGTACTGAAATTAATATAAATGAATCTTTGGCAAGTTCCCTTGAAATCGGTTCAGATTTAGATATAGCATAGTTTCCATATATGGTTCGACCTATTCATGTTTATTGCACACCAAATAATAAAAGGGTGCCTGATTGATATTACATTTAAAAAAGAGACGCATACCAAATAGCGTGTGTAAGGTTTGCTTTAAACATTTAGTTAGTTCAATTTTATGTCAACGTTTCTTCGAAAATGCGACATCTGTCAGGATACATATGTAGAATATACACAAAGTGGTGAAAGGTATCATATAGTCGGCCCAGTCCGACTTTACTACTTTCCTTACTGGTTAAGATTTTAAATGGGCTGGTAAATGAATACCAATGTTTGTTAAGGTTTTTAACTTTGGATATAGATATTTAAAGATTTAAAAGGGAAGAAAAATAATTTACAAAAAATTGTTGTTTTTTTTTTTTTTTGAGGATTAAAGAAAAGTCCTTATTTTTGATGGCGGGCATGAAACTCCTCTCTGGAACATCGCAATCCGAAAATTTCAATGGTGTTAGAAAGAGTACATGTTTGGCTCTCGTATGGACTAGGATTATTGACTTCGCGCAAGAATTAACGAAATGGCGGAACTTTGATTTTTTTTTTTTTTTTTTTTTTGGAAAATCGCCTATTTTTGACCACAAACTAAGTTAAAATATAAGGAAGATCTTCACCGATTGGCTTTATCCTAGTTCATTCGATAGCTATACACTCACAGAAAAATGACCCAAAATTTGGAATCGATCGGATTATTAGTTTTTGAGTTATCGTTATTGAAAATTTATAGAGACATTCTTGAATTAGAGTAGGTTCGAATTAAATCAACATACAAAATTAATTTTTTTGAAACCGAGACGTTTTTCGTTTTTCGACGTCTGCGGAAGTTATGAATATATTATAAAATTTTACTATTAAGGGCAAGTTTGTAAATTGAAGCTAGGCATTGACATAGAACATGTGCGTGCCAACAAGCAACACCATCAATATCCTTCATTGTATCAGGTTAATGTTAAATTTCCCTTGGGACTTCTGGGTACCTGAATAGCCAATTTACCTAATATCATTATTTGAAATAATGCCAATAAAAACGCAAGCACTATTTTCTTCTGTTCATTTTTTATTTCTTTCCAAAAATGCCCCTCCACTTGATCTCCGCAAATTTCTAAGTATTTAAATGCCATAGAATACTCAATTTTAAATATGTTGATCCCCGTACATTTCCTTGCACACATCATCGACAATGCAACGTTTTAAACGTTTAATTTCTTCCCGTCGTTGCCTTGACATTATTACATAATTAATTACTTTGTGCATTTCTTCGTAGTACAGCAAACCGCAGGTGCCGCACGACAAATCCATATAACGGAAACGATTTACATTGCAGGTGCAGCCATCAAAAACAAAATAAATCATTTTTGAACTATCATGCCAACGGAAGATTACATAATTGCCCCAAGGGACCATAATATAGACACGATCGGCACAGCGAAAGGCGGCGTGTATAAGTTTGCAAAGGCTATCATAAGAGCCGCATTCCGAACCGACAACGGCCATTGTTTTGGGATGTTCCAAGAGACCAGGATAAGAATTGGGACGATATGTAACCGTTTCCTGGGCACAATTAAAAATACAAGGCTCTTCCACTTCAAGTTTTTTGGGCTCCTCTATTTTGGGTTCCTCAGGTTTGGGTTCTTCCACCTTTTCCACCGGCTTCTCAGCTGGCGGCGGTGCTGGAGCTGGCTTACCTTTTTTGCCTTTATCTTTACCGCCTTTTCCACCGCCCTTCTTGGCCATTTCTAGGAAGAGAATTTAAATGTTTGGGTTATTGGGTTTTAAAAAGTCTAACTAGATTGAAACCAAACCATTATTACTTACCTTTAATAACGTTTATGAAAAATTTAGAATTTAGAATAGAATTCCGAAAAAAATATTTCAAAAATTAATAAAATTGTAAAATAATTTTTTTATTGAAAAAGCAAAGCCTATTGAATAACAAGGTAATTGGGGTAGATATCCGGGAATTGTTGTAGTATGTATTTGTAAGATTTGCAAAGTATTATTATTAAGTCTCAATTTAGATTAGGCGAGTTTACTTGCGGCAAGTCTTTGTTTGTAGGGGAGAGGTGCAAGGGGAATAGAAATGAAAAAAAATTGCTCGTACCGACAATTTTTTGGCAATTCGTTTTGTATATTTCGTATTTGTTGACAATTTATATATTTGTAAATGTGAAAAAAAACGACAAATAAAAAAATATTTTGGAAACCGAATTGCCTTGTATAGACGCATGAAGCATGTTCAAAAGAGAACGATAAAAATTGCCGCAAGTAAACTCGCCTAATATAAATCAGGACTAAGAGGGAAAATCAACAAACAGGGCAGTATAGCCCGACAACTTGACAATTTACCCACTGCGTCTTAGAGTAGTTAAATTCCGCGATTTATGTATCCTCCTTAATGGGTTTAAAGGCTTTGTTAATAAAACATCCACAACACCAATCCAAGCTCATTCTCTTGTTACTTTGACCGGCGTTGCCAGCCGATCCCTTTTTTGAGAATCGCTTGGATAAAATTCAAATGCAAACATATTTCTCATTTGCTAACTCAAAAAAAAAACAAGTGAAAAAGCGTTAAGTTCGGCCGGGCCGAACTTTGGATACCCTCCACCATAGATATACGGGCAGGTACTAGAAATGAAAATATAGGGAACATGTCAAAAAGTGGACCTATACCGACATTTCTAAAAACGGATTATGTAAACCATAATGTAAACAACAATACGAATTTCAGAAAATTTTAATGGATAATAATTATAGCTCCAGCCTTACAGCTAATGACGGTGTATACACTTTAACACAATGAAAATGTGCCTCATCGAAATATTGGTTCTAGACCCCATGTTTCTTTGGACCAAATCCGTTTCAGTAAAGGTGGTTTTCATTCAAACCTCGCACATATTATTATTTCTTCCAAACTTAGTTCAAATTCGAAGATGGGGAATATCGGTCCACTTCTTCTGGTACCTCCACACAGGGGCTAGGTCTAAATGCGGCTATAGTTCATTATCGAACCTTACGTTCTAATTTTTTATCTCGCTATCCTCCGCAGGTGAAATGATTACAACAGAGTCTTAGAACCAAAATTAAAACGCGTAACAAATCAGATAACTATTTTAATATAAAAAAGGGGGTTATATGGGGACTACCCCAAAAAGGGACGGATATTAATAATTTTTGGTAGGGAGATTTGTTACCATATACGACTACAAAATACCAAATTGCAGCAAATTCGGTTGATAAACGCGTTCAAGAACCCCAAAATACCGAAAATTGGGGGTATCCTTATATGGGGGCTATCCGTAAAAATGGATCTATATTCATAATTTTTTGTGGGGAGATTTGGTACCTATTAAGAACTCAAAATACTAAATTACAGCTAATTCGGTGGAAAAATACGACCAAAACCCCCAAAATACTGAAAATTAGGAGGTACCGTTATATGGGGACTACCAGAAAAAGTGGACCTATATCCATAATTTTTTGTGGAGACATTTATTACCCAATATGAACCCAATATAGCAAATTTCAGCGAATTCCGTTGAAAAACGCGGTCAAGAACCCCAAAATACCGAAAATTGAGGGGTACCGTAATATAGGGGGAAGCAGAAAAAATTGACCTATATTTATAATTTTTAGTAGGTTTATTTGGTACCCAATAAGAACTCAAAGTACCTAATTTCAGCGAATTCTGTTAAAAAACACGCTCAAGAACCTCAAAATACCGAAATTTTGGGGTTACCCTTACATGGGGGCTGTCCGAAAAAATGGACCTATATTTATAATTTTTAGTGGGGATATTTGCTACCCAATAAGAACTCAAAGTACCAAATTTCAGCGAATTCGGTTGAAAAACACGCTCAAGAACCTCAAAATACCGAAAATTGGGGGGTATCCTTATATGGGAGCTATGCCTAAACGTGGACCGATATAGCCCATCTTCGAACTTGACCTGCCTGCAGACAAAAGACGACTCTATGCAAAATTTTGGCGCTCTATCTCAACTCGTTTAGACGCTAGAGTGATTACAACAGACAGACGGACAGACGGACATGCATAAATCGTCTTAGAATTTTACGCTGATCAAGAATATATATACTTTATAGGGTCGGAAATGAGTATTTCGATGCGTTACAAACGGAAAAACAAAACTAATATACCCTCCATACTATGGTGGAGGGTATAAAAAAAACTGTAAGGAAAGTTCAAAAGTCGGACGGGGCTGACTATATGATACCCTTTGGGTACATACAAGAGATGCTCATATGTACAATATTCTTTAGACAGAATAAATTATCTGCGTGAAGTACATAGATATACACAATATGAAAAATTGAAGGTCAATCATCGAGCAAAATATGTATAAGATCTATATATAAACGGACGTATTTGAACAATCGTGCCATCCACCATTTGGTTTGGCTGCAACAAAGGGCGCTATCCAAATTTATCTCGGTGGTGCACTAAGTCGTCCCAAGCGGATACACTTTAGCTACTTGGTACATCATTTTGATGAAATCGGATGAATAAATTTCATACCCGCTGCCAAATTTCGTGAATATAGAACAAACATAGATTCCTCGGTGTGTGATTTATATAAAATCGGACGAAAATATATGAGTGCTATATATAAATCTGAAGCTATTTCAACAAAACTTCGCATACATAAATTTTGACCTAATTCAGTACACTGCGGAAAATTTTTGTGCCAATAGCCCTAGATTTGATTTTTGGTGCTATATTTAGATAAAATCGGACGAAACTATATATGGGAGCTAAATCTGAATCGATTCCTACAAAACTTCGCATCCATCAATTTGGACCTAATTCAGTACTATGTGCAAAGTTTTGACTCAATCATACAATACATATGGCAGCTATATCAAAATCTGAACCGATTTCAACAGAACTTAGTATATATCAATCTAGACCTAATTCAGTATTTTGTGCAAAATTTTGTCTCAATAGGACCAATATTGACAGTATGGTGCTCCATTTACCAAAACTTGGACGAAACAATATATGGGAGCTATGTCTAAATCTGAACCGATTCCAACAAAACTTGGCATATATCAATCTGGACCTAATTAATTACTCTGTGCCAAATTTTGTCTCAATCGGACCAATTTTGGGAGTTTGGTGCACAATTAGTTAAAATCGGACGAAACTATATATGAGAGCTATATCTAAATCTTAACCGATTTCAATAGGGTTCGTCCTTGGGCCAAATAAGTGACATGTGCCAAATTTCATCCAAATCGGATCATAAATGCGACCTGTTCTTTGTTCAAAAAAAAAAAAAAAAAAAAATTAACGGACAGACATGTATAAATCGATCCAGCACGTGATTCTATGCATATTCTCAAAAGGAACTATGGGCCTATCTCGATTCCCTTTGCCTGTTAAAAACATATGCACAAAGACATAATACCCTGACCACACTGTGGGGCCGACTATATGATAGCCTTTACCACTTTGGCTATATTGGCAAGAGATGTATCCTAACAGACCTCCAATTTTTGAAGGTCCATTGACATGAAAGTGGACTATTTTAGGTATATGATCTTTGTCTATATGTGAACCGATTTAACCGAACGAATTATAACCTGGTAAATTTGTAAATGTATATTATGTTTGTTTTTTCGTTTACAATTATTCGAATAATAATCACTTCCTACCATCACTATTTTTGATTTGTTTAAATTCTATGACGATCTAAGCATGTCCGCCTGTCTGTTGTCTAGCCTCTAAACGACAACATAGAGTTGTCTTTTGTCTACAGGCAGGTCAAATTCGAAGATGAGCTATATCGGCCCACGCATAGGCATATAAGGGTACCCCCCAACAACTTTGGGTTCTTAAATTTCGCTTAAATTTGGTAAAATAGGTTCTTATTGGGTATCAAAGGGGGTTCTTTAGAGTGCTTTTCAACCGAATTCGGTAAAATTTTGTACAATGGATTCTTCTTTTGTACATCGGTCCACACACATGTTCTCGGTAAGCTATGACATGCAATAAGGGCAGATTTAGATTCGTTTAAAAAATTATGTAAATCGATTTAAACCAAACTATTCATGGTACTACAACACAGAGCGCTGTTGATATAATCTTCAGTTCATCCATAATCATCAGTTCATTATTTAGTGCAACCTTTAAACAAATTTATCTGAAATCGGACGAAAATATATATTGGAGCTATATCTGAATCTGAACGGATTTTCCCGAAACACACATTACTCTGAACCGATTTTCACGAAATTTAACACACATCATTCTTGACTTAATTCAGTACGCTGTGCCAAATTTCGTGCAAATTGAAAGATATTTTGGGACTTTGGTGCACCATTTACCTTAAATCGGACGAAAATAAATATTCGATTTTCACGAAACATAGCACGCATCATTCTATACTCAATTCAGTACGCTATGACAAATTTCGTGCACATCGAAGGATATATAGGGATTTTGGTGCACTATTTACATAAAATCTATAAAATTTATATCTATATCTTAACCGATTTTCACGAAATTTAACACACAGCGTTCTAAACTTCATTCAGTACGCTATGACAAATTTCGTGCAAATCGGAGGATATATAGGGACTTTGGTGCACCATTAACATAAAATCGGACGAAAATATATATGGGAGCTATATCTAAATCTGAACCGATTTTCACGAAACTTACCACTCATCATTCTAGACTTAATTCAGTACGTTATGCCAAATTTCGTGCAAATC